AGCTTCACCCAATTCTTCTGCGATCCGGTTACAAAGTGGCGGAGATATTCCTCCAACATACCATTGAACCGCTCCGTCTGGCCATCAGATTGCGGATGAAAACTTGAGCCGTGACTCAATTTTGACCCAAGGCACTTGAAGAGTTGGGTCCAAAAGTTGCTAGTGAAGCGTGAGTCGCGGTCACTAACAATGTCTTTGGGCAGGCCCCAATATTTGACGACATGAGAGAAGAAGAGTCGAGCTGTATCTTCTGCTGATATATATTGTGGGGCTGCAATAAAGGTGGCATACTTGGAAAACCGGTCCACCACAACCAAGATGGTTGTGAGATCTCCGACCTTGGGCAATCCAGTGATGAAATCCAGGGAAATGCTTTCCCAAGGTCTCTTTGGGACAGCGAGTGGTTCCAAGAGTCCCGCTTGTGTCAAGCGGTCCGACTTGTCCTTCTGGCATACTAGACAAGTCTTCACATACTGAGCGACATCATCGGCCATTTGAGGCCAATAATAGGCACGACGAAGTAACGCCATGGTGCGTTCTTCACCGGGATGGCCGGCCCACAGAGTGTCATGACATTCCGCTAGAAGAGTCCTCCGCAAATCTCCTCCTTTAGGAACATAAAGTCGGTTCCCTTTTACTTTCAGAAAACCATCTTCCATGTAGAACTGGCGAGTCTTGCCCTGTCCTACCAAATCAACCAAATACTGAGCAGCAGGATCCTTGATGAGTAGATCCCGTATTTGGTCCTTGATGGATGTGGCTACCTCGCTCCCCCTTAGGGTGGCGAGTAGGCACACCGATGCTAGGTCAGCTCTCCGACTGAGCGCATCAGCAACATGATTGGTCTTTCCACTGTGATACTCCAAGTTGAAGTGGAATTCAGCTAGGAGTTCCTGCCACCTGGCCTGTCGACCGTTCAGCTTCGGCTGGGTCATGAAATGGCTAACAGCTGTGTTGTCTGTCTTGACCACGAACGGGGTTCCCAGCAGATAGTGCCTCCAGAGGCGCAAGCAGTGGACGACAACCAATAATTCTTTCTCATGGGCGGCATAGCGCCGCTCTGCATCCTTCAGCTTCTGACTCTCGTACGCTACAGGGTGCCCTTCTTGTAGCAAGACTCCGCCGAGGGCATAGTCAGATGCATCTGTTTGTACCTCGAACGGCTTGGCCAAATCAGGAAGGGCCAAGACGGGGCTACTAGACATAGCCGCTTTTAATGCGTTGAAGGCCTCTGCTCTCCTTGGTCTCCAATCCCCTTCTTGAGGAGTTCTGTCAATGGCACTGCGATAAGTGAGTAGTTCTTCACAAACCGCCGGTAGAAGTTGCATAGGCCAAGGAACGCCCTCAAGGGGTGGACATCCTTAGGCGGCGGCCAATCTGTGATGGCCTGGATTTTCTGTTGGTCCATCTTGATGCGTCCTTCCTCGATGACATGTCCGAGGAAATCAATTTGCTTCTGAGCAAAGGAGCACTTGGATAACTTTGCATATAGTTCATGCTCCCGCAACCGAGCTAGGACCTTCCGCAAGTGTACTAGGTGTTCTTCCAATGTCTGGCTATATACCACAATGTCATCTAAGTAGACCACCACAAATTCGTCGATGTACTCTCGGAAGACTTGGTTCATGAGAGTGCAAAACGTAGCAGGGGCGTTGGTCAAGCCGAACGGCATGACCAGGAAGTCGTACGACCCATATCTTGTCACACAGGTCGTCTTGTGTTCATCACCCTCTGCAATCCGAACTTGCCAATAACCTGTCTTCAGATCTATCTTGGTGAACACCGTAGCACCACCCAGTCTATCAAACAAGTCTGCCATTAGGGGAATAGGGTACTTGTTCTTCACGGTGATTTTGTTTAGAGCTCGATAATCCACACAGAGTCGCAGGCTGCCATCGTGTTTCTTTTGGAATAGAACAGGGGACCCATATGGGGACTTGGAGGGTACAATGATCCCTGTATCTAGCATTTCCGTCAATTGTCTCCGAAGCTCGGTGAGTTCGGGTTGTGACATTCTGTAAGGCGCCCGGGCAGGTGGCTTCGCGCCCGACACCAACTCAATTTCATGGTCCACAGTGCGCCTAGGCGGGAGCCGCTTTGGCATGTCTTGTGGCATGACATCTTCAAACTCCAGTAGTAACTCCTTCACGGGTTCAGGAATGGGACCCGAGGAGCGTTCTATATCTTCAATGCAGAGGGTTGCCAGGAACGTAGGTTCATTCCTTTTGACCCCCTTCTTCAACAGCAAGGCCGAGATGTTCTCAACGGCCATCTTCATGGGCAGGCACGGGATAATGCAGGGCTTGGCCCTATTGGTACCCATCATCAGTAGCATGTCTGCAAATGGTACAGGCATGGTGTTGGTTTGCCTTAGGAATTCCAGCCCAACAATCAACTCGAAGTCATCTATGATCACCACTCGCAGGTTGAATTTTCCTTCGTAAGGCCCAAGCTTCACCGGTACTTCTTTAGCTATTCCACCCACTGGCTGGGGAGGTGAGTTGATAGCCTTGACGCTACCTTTCCCTACAACTAGTCCAAGGCGCTCCACCTGAGTCGAGGCTAAGTAGTTGTGGGCAGCACCCGTGTCTATCATAGCCTGAATAGGCTTGCCATTCACCTTCATCTCGACGAACATTAAGGTCCTCTCTTGTTTAAGAGGAGTCTCTTCATTCNTGATTGCCTATCATTGACAATATTTTGTAAACCAACTCCCTTATTTTGGATGTTTTGTAAACCAGTACTTGTTGCTGTAATGGAGCATTTGTCAATATATTTCATGAACAAAATTTTACATCAACACAAAATATGTAGCCTAAACCCAGGAAATAACAAAGTGCACTATCAATCCTAAACAAATAACATAATAGCTAACATTAGAACAAGTACAACCACAATTATAATAGCAGCAACTCTCAACTTCGACCTTCCTTGACTTCTTTGACAATGGCATCGATCACTCTTCTTAATAAGAGCCGCAAGAAGAGTCTTGTAGTGTTCTTCCTCAATCGCAGGATCAACCCATCTGAAAAAGCCACAACCTTCACCAATCTCATATCTTCGGCAGCCCAGGAACCTCCTTCCAGGATTGGTGGGTGTTCGTGACATTTTAAGATCTGCAGCAACTCCACAATAACACAAGGGTTGCATCCTCATTGTTGAAGGAGAAGAGGCGGCAATAGCGTATTTGTTGCAGGAGAAGCAAAAAAAAATCCACTTTCAAAGAAAGAAGAAGGCATCAGATTTGCTAAATTTAGCTTCTACAATGTTCAACAATGGAGAATAAGGTACAAAGAAGAAGATGGATGTTAAATAGGCTAAATTATTACCGTTAGGGCTTTTTTTACTGTCTTTATGCCCCTTACAAGCGTGTGAATCATGCACTGCAGCCACATATGACACATAGGATAAGCCACGTTGGATAAGCGTTTATTATTCACATTTTGAATGAGTATAAGTGTTCAATTGGCAAATATGTAAGTTTGGGGACCGGCATGACAAAGTGGTTAAAGTACAAGTGCCATTTAGGCTATTCTGCCTTTTTTTTAACATAGGTGATAAAGGTTGATAAGAATGGACATTGGGTCTAACTCAACCCCAAAAGCTAGCTTGTAAGGTGAGGATTGCCCAAGCCATATAAGGAGACCAAGGACCTCAAATCCCTCCGATGTGGGACAACTCAACACCCCCTCACGCCCAGGTCTCTGGAGCGTGGACAACATAAATGGGGGCCCAACATCGGTAACAATAATTGGGATGGGCCTGGCTCTGATACCATGATAAGAATGGACATTGGGCCTAACTCAACCCCAAAAGCTAGCTTGTAAGGTGAGGATTGCCCAAGCCATTTAAGGAGACCAAGGACCTCAAATCCCTCCGATGTGGGACAACTCAACACCCCCTCACTCGCACTCAACCTCAAGACTTGTGGAGTGCGAGTGACAGAAGCAGAACCATCATCAACTGTATCTCCCATGGTAAAAGATGAAGCTGATGAAGAAGACTACTAAAACAAGTGAAGCCAAAGGATAGTACCTTATAGCTCTGATACCATATTGGAAAAGATGATGTAAAGAACAATTTAGGAAATTTTCTGTGTATTGAATGATCCTCTTCTGTATAGAACGTTTCGTTTATACAATTTAGAAAGGAATCTATGTATAACAAACTATGACAGCTGTCCCTATACTATTGGTAAAAGAATAACCAACTATGAGATAAATACAAGAATAAGAAAAATCTATTTACAATTAAATATAAAAGAATCTTCTAGTATAATTCAGAAAAGGGCCAAATGAAATTCTGGGCCCAAGTGATAATTCAAAGTCAGTCCATTTCGTTGTAAGCCCAAAATCAAATACCCATCTTAGACTATTATATTGTTTCCTTGTTCAGACATATCCTCGAAGAATCCAACAAACCTTGTGCCTTGTCTTTGAACCTTAGTGTCCTTAGGTCATCTTCTTTACCCAACTTTCTCTTCTGCAAATCACCATTATCATCTGAGGAAGTCGAAATTGGTGGTCCAACAAAGGTCCCTGTGCTGATGGGAGGAGCAGGTACCCAATGGAATAGTCGAGCTGCACGCAAGATGGTTCGGATGTTTCATGATCCTGTTATATTAAGATTCTTGTTCAATATTAAATCTCACAAGCCATTTGATAAAGTTGGCTTTTGTTGTGCAACTTCAAGTTCTCTATCCCAAATCCTCCATAGGCTTTTCCCCCTTTTTGGGACGTGCATTTATCTAATTGTTACTCCCTCCATTTAATTTTATGTGGCGGTTTTTTACTGCACGAATTAAGAAAGAAAGAACACATACCAAAAGACATGACATTTTTGTGGTTATAAGAGCAATTCAACAAGGGTAAATTTGAAAATTTAAAGTTATAGAGTTTCCAAATGTAGAAAAGTGTCATTCTTTTTGGACATGCTAAGAAAAAAAGAGCGCCATATAAAACGGAACAGAGGGAATACTTCACTTTTGCTGGCACATGATATAAGGCTCTAGGTTTATGGCCATTCTATCCAACACTCTTATCACTTAGAGCGAGTTGCCCACTTGCGGTCCATGGATGTCATCTTGGCACACTGTTGCATCTCTTAACTTGGAGCTTATGGCATACCAAGATAAGTGGTGGGTAAGTTCAGGTCTGCATCCAAAAATTGATGGTAAGAGCTGTACATGATTTCCAGCTATTAAAAGGAACATGCTACGTTTTGCCAAGTCAATACGCAAGTCAGAGCGTGTCTCAAAGATCAAAAGCACCATTCTTAGATGCTTCTCTTTTCTCTTCCCCTTCCTTACACAAGACTCTAGTTTCTTCTGCATATGAAATATGAAACTTTAACTTCGTCCATTCTCTCTTACTATCTGAAAATCTTTCAGTCATCCTTTGCCCGTGTTTACTCAAAAGTCTACTCGGTACCTTTCAGTCATCCTTTGCCCTTTTTTACTCAATAATCTACTCGGTACTTCCATCACAATCAGAAACAGAAAGGTGATAGGGGATTAACTGGCCTTAGTCCCCTTTGTGATGAAAAGCTGGTACACCCATTATAATAAAGAGAACTTGACTGTAAAATTGCAGGTTTTTATCTATTTAATTCATCTCTTCTCAAAACCCATCTTCTGTATAGTATTAACAAGAAGGATTAGTTAACAAGGCGACTGGCTTTTTCTAGGTCTAGCTTACAAATTATTATTCTTGATTTGATATTCTCCTAGAATCTGAGCATTCATTAGCAACTAAAACAACATCCATGATCTTTCCTGCTTGGATGGATACATTTTGTGTGCCAACAGAAGACTCCCTATGCCTTTCTTTAATCTTTCATTGACACTTTTGCCATTATCTTGTCGAACGTTTCTAAGAGACTAATTGGTCTAAAGTCTCTTAGTAATATTGCATCGTCTTCTTAGATATCCAGGATATAAAAGTAGCATTCAACCTTAAAGTACTGGAAAGTGTTCATCAAGTCTTCTTTCAAGATTCTTATCTCCAAATAAAAAGATTTTCTTACGAGATTGGCTAGCATCTTTTGGGGAATAAAAGCCATTGTATAGCCATCAGGATTAGGGGTTTATTCCCTGCACATCTTAGGTATTGGGAGTAGGATAACTACTGTGTTGCGTAGCAAAATCAAGCTCTATACCATTGAGTTTATAAATCTAACAAAAGGACTCATATATATCATTATTTCAGAGCACATATTGGCAGGCATCGTCCCATGTGGTCTTCAGTAGCATTAATATCCTTGTATCATTATTTAGCATGGTGGAAAGCTAGTGAGAATTAATTCTAAACTATGTAATACCAATAATCCAATATAGCTCATATTTGGAAAGATATTAGGATGTTTCCTTGAAATGAGGAAATGACTTAAGAGAAAGTTGACGAGCAGCAAGCGCAGACAAAGTGTCCGTAGTTAGCATGATAAGTTCCTATAAAGTGATGATTTTTAAAGCAGCATAACTTTACCTCTTTTGTTCTTGTGAATTTAGGGACATTTGCTACTTGATGCTAATTAAGATTTTCTTAGTGAAATATGTTAGTGCTCATGTTTTTTGAAATAACCACATTGGATTGCTTCTCCTGTTGTCATTATGGGGATAACCACAATTGTTCTCAAGTTACAGAGTAGAATAACGTTGTTGTCCAAAGATTTGCTATAATTTGGAGTAAATTGTTCTTTGGCCACATTAAGATTGTATTTTCTTTTCGTCATTTGTTCTATTCAGCTTCCTAAAAAAGTCTATCAGCATCAACTTTACATGAACCCCCCCCCCCCCCCTCTTCCCTTCTTTAGGTCAAGGACCATCAGTTAAGGGACAAATATGGCTGTTGTAAAGTCGAGTCAACACTATTCTTCAACTGAAGTAAGCTTCTCGTGTTTGTTTGTGTGCAGTTCTAACATAGGTTTGGCCTTTTGCCTTTTTCTGTTTTTTATTTTTATTAGGTGGTGTCCACTGGGTAATTGCTATCTCTCACCAACACAGATACCGGGTAACTCTGCTCACCAAGGCTTGGCAGATGGGAAGAAATCCCTTAGTATTTACTGTTTTTTTGTTTTGTTTCTGTTGGGATTTGAACCTAAGACCTCATGGTTTTCCACCTACTTTATTAACCACTAGGCGGTACCCTTTTGCCTTTTCGATCAATCCACTAAGTCATTTAACTCAAATCTTGTGTTGTATATTTGTATAGTTAAATGGTGCTTTCCCTCACACTACAAAAAGACAAAACATCGACCCATATGATATGTTAAAAGGTTTTTTGATGCAAATCATGATATGCTGTTTGCTTGTGTCATTTCTTTTATAGGTAAATTATGGAAACTTCATGCATGGACTGATGAAGGAGAATGTCCAGCTGAATAGGAAAGTCTTGTTCGAATTGTCGATGCACGAACCATACAGCTTCAAGGCCCTGGTGGATATCTCCCGCAGCGCTTTCCCAGGAAATAAGACGGCAATAGTACCTCCTAAGAAGGAAGGTCTTGCTATTGTTCTTTGACTTGCATTTCCTATTCTCTTCTTTTTTTGTGGTTTTTTGTCAGTCAAGTATTTATCAAAATCTTTAGGAAGTAGGTTATGGGAATAAATTTTATCAACACTTATGTTAGCAAAACATACTCTTGAAATTTTGTGTTTTTCTCAAAAAATAATAGAATGGAAATGTTTGTAGCAGACAGTTTATATCTGTGGGAAAAAACTGAGAATTATCAACTGCATCTTTAGCTTGAAGCTGCTTTAACATCTGAATTACGCTCTGCTTTTACCTCCTGAATGATCATGTCTCTGCCCAGCTTCCTTCATTTAAACCCATTCAACTTTTTAAATTATTTTTAATTAAATGGACCTGGTTAGAGTTTTTTTTCTCTTCTCAAAGAAAAAGAGATTATACTCTTTGTTTTATAGAGAATGACAAGTTTGATTTACGAGGGCCAATTTCCAGGTTACCTTTCTGTCCATTAGTGGCTTTCTTGAAATGTTTTTTGTTTGACCACAGTAGTCATGTTTCTTTATTTAAGCCAGTGCCAGTTCTTATAAATTTGAGTGAGACGGACTTCAATAAAACGATATGAACAATGAAAATTTATACAGTTGATCCCAACTTTATTGCATAGAGCAAGCTCGAATCAATAATTTTATTTGTCACAGTTACCACTTAAGTAGACAATTGGTTCAACTTCAGCCCTTCCTTCGTAGATGTTTTTAGGTGAGGAGAAATATACATATCTTTGGTTTCAACTTTGTTAACCGAGAGCTTTCTGCATAATAGTAAAGAAATTTAAATAAGCAATTTTTCTCTTATGTATTAGAATCCTTGAGCCCATCGAAGGGATTGAAAAAGCAAGAGAAATTTTGAATTTTCAAATAGTTATCTCGCAAATCTTACAAATATATGTTCCATAATGGAAAATGTGCCCCAGTTATTCAAGTCATATTGGTCATTGATGAATCACCAGGTTCGAGCCCATAAGCACTGACTATTACTCTACGAATACTCATTTTCACTAGTAATCAAGTTTTAAGCACAACACAGGAAACATTCCTTTATTACCAAGACACTGACAAAGAGAATGTAATTGCCCTGCACTGCGTTAGCTTATCTTCCTAAACTAAAAGAACGTATTCTTACACATGTTACAGCTAACGAACCTTTACCTTCTGACAAATCTACCAAAGTTCCAGCGCAAGGAACGGCTAAAATTAATTACAGAAGAAAAAGAAAATAAAAGAACATTCAAAAGAGAAGATTTAGACAGCATCTCGAAAATACATGCACAGCTGCCATTTTTGCAACTCCTTGAGAAGCAGCCTACTACTGAAAATTTCATACTCAGATAATGCTACAGAACACCAGACCCTGCCTGAACTTACCCAACTATCATAGTTTTAAGCTGTCAATGAATTTAAACAGTTCTTCCAGTGTCTGGTCCCACGAACTTCTCGATTCAAGAGGCATTTTCTGAAGAAGTAACCTCGATTTTGTTGGAGTCGATATTAACAGTTGCCTGTGACTTATCACCATACTCATCGTTCTTCTTTGACTGAAAACGACCACCACATCCTCTAGCTCTTTTTAGTGCATGTAAATGCCGAGATTCATGCAAGTAGGGCTGCAAGATTATTTCGTAAAGTAAGACCCCCAAGGTCATGGTGCTGGATACGCACAGCCTTAAACAGAGATTACAACTCTTAATGGGGCAGGCTACCTTAATAACAGACTATGCTACTAGACACAATCAGAACTTTGACTTTGAGCTATTTACTAGGAAATTAAAGACATGGTTGATCAAGCGCAAGATATTCCTGATAAATAATACGTCCAACTCAGACAAATTTTAAGCCTCATCCAATTCTATTTATTCAGTTGCATTTCTCAACTAATTGGACACTTGTACAACTAAAAAATTAATACTTGGACCATCAAAAGAATAGAGGCAGCAGGAACACTTCTGACTACAATTCTGTGGCTGAAAAAGAGAAGCACATATAGAAAAAGTCAAAAGTGTTTAGGAAGTATACACTAGGTAAAATTGCACTTGTTCCTAAGTTCAAGGACACAACTAGTCCCTCCAATATCTAAGCAACATATAAATAACCCCTTAGGTAGTGTTCTATAATTCTTCACATCCAAATCTACTAAGAGTCAGTACCATCCATTTTCTATATCCTGTTTTCAGATCTAGTTTGGAAAGTAGATAATTCAGTATTTCTCAATATCAATTGTGATCCAGAGAAAGAGCTAACTCCTGATTGGGTTTGACCTAAAGCAAACTCAAACTTGATTACAACTAGGAGCAAAGCCAATAACAATCAAGTTTTCCCCAATAAATTGCAATACATCTTTGAGAATCATTTTTATTCTATTGTATTTTTTGATCGGTGTCACTTTTATTTCATATGATGCCGACTCTTTTTTTCACTTTCAATTCCATTCAATTTTTCTAATGATGTTGGAAATTATCACGAAAGGAAGAACGATCTACACATGATGTTCATTGACCTAGAGAAATCATGATAGAGTACCATGAAAGGTCCTTTGGTGGGCGACGGAGAAGAAAGTAATTCATATTAAATATACAAATGTTATAAAGATCATGTATGAAGGAGTTGTCACCAGCGTGCAAACAGTAATAGGAGATACCGAGGAGTTTCCCATAACAGTGGGTTTACACTAGGGTTCTAAATTGAGCCCCTATATATTTATCCTAGGTATGGATGAGCTAACCAATACAAGATGAGGTCCCATACTGTATGCTACTTGCTGATGATATTGTGCTAATTGATGAAACTAGCGAGGGTGTCAACCAAAAGCTTGAGCAATGGAGAAGCACCTTAGAGAGTAAGGGTTTCAGGATAAGTAGAAGTAAGACGGAGTACATACACTGCAAGTTTAGTCAGCATGAGAAGAGCAAAGTTGAGGTGAGACTAGATGGGATTACGCTGCCAAAATGCAAACAATTTAGATATCTAGGCTCGTTGTTTCAAGAAAATGGAATGATAGACAAAAATGCTACTCATAAGATTAAAACCAGATGGTTGAAATGGAGAAATACTACCAGGAGTTTTGTGATAGAAGGATGCCTACCAAAGTGAAAGGTAAGTTCTATAAAACAACTATAAGACCGGCTATGTTATATGATAGTGAATGTTAGGCAGCTAAAGTCCACCATATTCACAAGATAGTGTTGCAAAAATGCAGATTTTAAGATGGATATGCGGTCACACAAGATTAGATAAGATCAAAAATAACCACATTCGTCAGAAGGTACAAGTTGTATGCATTGATGAGAAAATGAGAGAAGGCTGCTTGAGATGGTTTGATCATATACTACGTAGACCTATAGATGCACTGGTCCGTAAGTGCGAAACAATAGTGAGGGAAGTATTAAAAAGGGGACAAGATCGACCTAAAATCACATGGAAGGAAATAGTCTCGAAAGACCTACAAATTTTTGGAATCAACATAGACTTAGCTAAAGATTAGGGCACAATGGAAGAGAAAGATCTCTATAGTTGTTTTCTACTAATTGGGAATAGGCTTTTGACTTGGTAGAGAACTTCTAATATTGCTATCATTATTAGTATTATTTATATATTTTTATGTGTGTATGAATATATATATATATATATATATATATATATATATATATATATATATATATATACTTTTATTTAATGATGATGATACGAGTTGAGCTTAAAGAAAGAAATAAGGATTCATATCACCGACCCCAATTTGTTCGGGATTGAGGCATAGTTGTTGTTGTTGTTGTCATGTTGGGATGATAGACAACAGACCATAAGAAGTTGATGGAGCAATTAACGAAGTAGCACTTTCACTCCTTGTGTTTGAATCAAAGTTTAGTACGAATTCATCGCCACAATATAGGTCATAGCACATTAGACCTGCAACTTCTTTCTTTTAATGCTCCTTATCAACCGAAAAAGAATCTCCATACAAAGATAGAGTAATCTCTATCTCATGCTAGATAATTCCTCTTGAGGCGCCAAAACCATCAAAATAGCACGGGCTAGCCAGTTTTCAGACTGGTAATTGAAAAATAGCCAGCGTTTGCAAAGTCATTGAAAAATAGCCACTATTTTGCTGCAACACGAAAATTCTAGCATAATATACTGAAGATTGGTGCACCTGTGTATGAACTTCCAGCATATTATGTTGGAACTCCAGCACACGGAAAGTTCCAGCATAATATATTGGAGATTGGAGCACTTGTGTATGAACTTCCAGCATATTATGCTGGACCAGTATATTATGCTGGAACTCTAGTATAATATGCTGGAAGTTCACATGTAAAAAATTCGAACTCCATTATATTATGCTGGAATATTTTCCGGATTTTGAACAGTGTTTTCGTTCAGATTTATCTTTACCTGAAAAGTGGCTAAATTTTGATTACTTGTGAAACTGTTGCTATTTTTCAATTACCACTTGTAAATCTAGCTATTTTTGAATTTCACCCTAATTTTGAAGACATCTAACTGATATTGGCCCAAAAGTCATGAGTACCTGTAGTTTCTTAGATTGGAGTTTGATTATGATTTCGTCGATATAACATTTTTAATGTTTAATACCATTTGGTACAGCAAAGACATTGGTACAATATATCATATTACAAAATCCTACGGATTTTCATGTGCACCAAGAGAGCATTTGAGGCATTAACTTGCACTAGACCTTAAGCAAATGGAGTAAAACTGCTTTTTGACAATTTCCCTACTAACTTTTTCACTATCTGCTATTTATTGTCACGATATAGTATATTAGAAATAAAATGTTGGGGTTTTACGTGTTACCATCATGTCTGACCTCAAAATATAAGGGGCCAAATAGAAGTTCTACAGGTTGGTAAAGCTGGTAGGCTAATGAACTGGGAAATATAAATCAGCTGTTGAACCAATAAGCTGCCAAATGGCAGGCCTACTGAAGCAACTGACCCTGCAGGTAAATGATACAAAGTGCATTTTGTACAAAATACCTTCCTAGCTTTTAGAAGTTTATTTTCTGATTCAGCTTTTGCACGAGATTGTCGACGCCTCAAGATGCCATGATACTGTTTTGCATTGACAAAAACAGGTTCTTCTACGGTATCTGATGGCAGAGGAATACCAACTTGCTGAATTCCCATCAATTGAAGTTGAACCTGCCAAACCATGGGTCATATAAACTTTGTGAACACTTCTTCACTATATTCCAAATGAAAAATGTAACTAGTAAGAAAATCTATACTGTTGACTGTGCTGGATAAGGTTGTGCAGGGTAAGGCTGCACGTCATAGGGTGCAAAGATGCTCCTGTAGTAAGGGTCTGGATAAGGATAAGCTGTTTGCGCCTGCAACAGATGAAAGACCACAGTAGATCATTCTTAGTTCCATTTTACATGAAAAAACTTAACCCATGCTGATTGAAGAGTTAGTGTAAAAATCATATCATTTGCTCACATTTGAACTGTTTGAAATGTTTGAAAATATTGAAACTAACGCCCTAAATATTTCAAGAATTTTTATTAAAAAAAATTGTCACAAAGGGGGGGAAAGATTAGATGCTTATTAATTTGATGTAGTGCGAAAAAAATACAAATTTGATCTCTAGACTTTACGTCCCTACACTATTGGTATTGTATGCTTCCCAGCAAAACTTATTTCAATCTGCATATCAAGATGAACAAGGATATGGAAATTTGCTTCCAATTATTTAAGCCGATTTTGGAGTGTTCAGAGGATCACGTGAATTTAAATAATATATGCAACATATATGTGCGTGCACTGTATCAACTAAACAAAAGAAGATGAAAAAGGCAGATAACAACTATCTGCATGAAGACAATACTCCCTACACCAACATCAATACACTCACATGTTCATCTTTTTAGTTCTTTACCAGATTTAACAAGAACCCTATTACTGAACAAGATAGCAGTCATAGAACTAAAAGAATCACATGTGTGTATATTGGGGGGGAGGGGGGGATTGCATCTACTGGCAAGAATAATGACTAGGAGCAGAATAAAAAGGACTTTCATAAATAGGTTATCACAAACAAAAGTTGAAATGAGTTCAAAATAATAATACCATAGCATTTGCATCTCCGAATTGGAAAGGCATCAAGTAGTGCATGTTTGGTGGCACAGTGCCACGGAGGGACAATCCATCTGCAGGGGATGAAAACTGGGTTCGCAGCTCTGACTGCTTTTGTTGCTGTTCATTCTCGCTATTATCTGAAATTTATTTATCAGACAACCTCAGGTACATTATATTAACCACCTGTACAAGTTCATTATGTTAGGCTAAAGAATCAAAGCTGATCTTCACACAAGGAAGAAAAACTCCATAAGATGAAGCCTTTATCAACAATTGAAATCATGAGTTAGTCAATTAGTGAGGATAGATAAAGTCGATCTGAGTGCAGAAAAAGTAGTTTAGTGACTTGCATTGGTACTTCTATAAGGGTAAATCCAAGTTTTGTAACCAATTGGTTAAACAGGAACTTTGCTGTCTTGATACTTTCTTGCTGATTATCTTTTTTCCCTTTCTGATCCATTTCCACTCTTTTGATTAGGATACAAGAACACTTTTTCTCTCCCTTCCATTGATGGAATCACATTACATATAGAGGAAATTGGACAAGGAGCAAATATAATCTGAGGTATGGAAGAGATCGTTTTCTTGGAACCAAAAATCAACCATTCATTTATAAGGAAAAAAGTTGGAAGAAGAAAAAGATCTACCATCCACAAGCACTTTGGGCTCTTCGGTTTTACAGTGTTTGCTAATCAAGGCAAATTGCTTGCTTGCTCTTGCTCTCTCTCTCTCTCTCTCTCTCTCTCTCTCTCTCTTCCCTCTCCTCCCTCCCTCCCTCCCCTCCCTCCCTCTCTCTCTCTCACACACACACACACACAAAAGCAGAGTCTTCATATCCTATAATTTGTTCAGTTTTGTGAAGTATCTTCTAATCTTTTTGAAGTTTTTAATTGCTTATAAAAGAAATGGTTTGAAGTTGGTATGTTCTTAAATGTCCAATATCATTGTTAAGAACTTTATCTCATTTTACTAATCTGGGAACGAATAAAAGTGTGTTCTCTCTAACAGCTTAAGCTTTTAGATGAGATAGTCACACACTTCAACATGGTACCAGAGCAGGCAGAGGTCATGAGTCGAGCCTCACCGCCACCCAATATCAAAAAGAATTTCCACGTGTTTGACTCATTAAAAAAGAATCAAGCCCACACGTGAGGGGGGCGTGTTGAAGACATAATTAAATAAATAAAAGTGTATTCTCTCTAACAGCTTTAAGCTTTTAGATGAGATGGATACACACTTCATCAAATATCATTGCTCCTGGTTTACAATGATTACAATGATTAACAGCTTTTGGGGCTAAAGTTGTTTTCATTAATCTACCTAAGCTTTCAATGAACCAATTCTTATGTGATGGAGGCTATTGATTATTCTAGATTACTTGTCTGTATTTAATTTGGCCAAGTTAAACTGATCTAGTAGAGGAAAGCAGTTGATGATTAAGAGGAATTTTCCAGAAACGGTCAAGAAATGCACGGGATATTCCAATGGGCCAAAACCACATTACCATATCCAGTTAGTGAGCAGGAAAATACTTAGCAGTAAAGGCTCCATACAAAAGAGAGAATTAACTGAAGGGGCCTCTCTCCATATTAACACAAATCAGAATAATTTTGGAAAGGATCCAAGTTCACCGTTGTCAAGAATTGGAAACTTTGATCACTTATATTAGCTCTCCCGAACTAATGATTTCGACTTATCTCTAGTTGTCGAAACTAGTTGAAGCATTGTTCAATCTTTGTTGCGGCTTGTTAGGACGTAGAATCATGTGCATCTCTCCATTTTGCTTTAGTGCTTTTCTGTTTCCGGTCCTAGTTCATTTTTAACTCTGACCCACTAGTTGTTCTACCACTTATACTTTTTTTTTTTTTTGTTTTTTCTGATAGTTCCACTTCTACACAACTCTTTAGGTAGCTTAGATGTCCATTTGGATTTAGCAAGTCAAGCTTGGTCAGTTAAAATTTGTTACATCATTCTAATTAGCACACCTGCTTCGGATTGAGACTTATTTGTTGAAGTTGTTTTTGTATTCTAATCAGCACAACCAAAATCACCGTACCTTTTGCCAACTACCTCGAATTTTCACCAAATAGAACTCAAGGTCGAACTTCAAGAAAATGGTCTCCTTCCTTTTTATTCAATGCTTCCATCTTGAAGACGAACAAAATTCAAGATCTGATTTTTCTTTCACATCAGCAGAGACCTCAGTTTGAACCATGACTTTCTACATCTTGAGTATAAGGCCTTAGAAGACCCCAGAGAGCTACCGTTCCACCATCGGCAGCTTTTATTGTAAGCAGTGATACATTATCTTCTCCAACAATTCACTCCTTTCCACCATGACCGACTAATTCAAAGGCTGCTCACCAACTTTGAACCTCAAGTTTCAGTTACCACTTAGTTGAGAACATGAAAAGCAAGAATTTACTGAAGATTCTCTAAATTACTCAAAGAGACTACATTAAACTACTTAAAAAAGATGGAAGAAAGCATGAGAATTTAACAGAGAAAGCTATCACTATCATCCTTTGAAATAACTTACCTTTGTAAGTTTAGCACTACTAATCTACTAATAATTGTACTTGACCTAAAACAGGAAATGTGAGTCAAACGATTCCTGCATGCTTGTCCCTTTATGACTTCATTTTAATTGAGGAATAGAATAAACCAAACAAAATTTTTCACTCATTCGAAAGAAAATCTTATCCAATTAGTGAGACTTTAGAAGATGTTCAATTGTAAATCAATCAAATATACTATGGCACGGCAAGTTTATCCATGAAGCAAAACAAAAGAATGTGCATCGTCATATAATCGGAGGAAACAAAGGGAGCAGGCTACGCTTTTCTCTATGGTTGTAGAAGAAAGATACATGATATGATAAAGTGATATTCTTGTAGGCAATGTTTGTTCTTAAACGAGCACAAGGCTGCTGATGTCACTTTGCTAATTAAAGACATACCATATCATGGTACCACCCAGTTACAGCCCCAATTAGATTAATAGAATTAATCAAGCTAACATGATAGACCTTAGAAGAGTCCCACATCGGCTGAGGGACGGGTAGGTCTGTTTATATGATCTTGGGAAACCCTCAGCTCATGAGCTATTTTTTTTTTCGGGGGCCGGGGGGAGGGGGGGATGGGATGTTGAGTTAGGCCCAAAATCCATTTCTTATTATGGTGTCGGAGCCACAATTATAGGCTCGGAAGCTACATAACTGTTCAATCGGGCACCAAGCCAACAATACAGTAAGAAATTACCTGAAAGATCATGTACCGAGGAGGTCATGGCGCTGCTTGTCACAAACTCCTCAATTTGAAAAACCTGATGAAGCAACTAACAAAAGCTGGATCAGCAAATGATAGCACAAACTATTGTCCATTAATATTTTTTATGATAATGGTGTCCGAGCCAGCTTGAGCACACCTCTACAATTCCACCGGGTACCTGCTACCTCCCACCAATACAGGTACGCGCTAACTCTACCCACCATGGCTTAGACAAAAGGGAAAACATTAACTACTCTTTTTTGCTGGGATTTGAACTTGAGACACTATAGCCCAGAATATTTATTTGTACATAATAAGCCAAAAGAATTCATACAGAATTAAACCTCAGCTTTCAATAACTGCAACCACTAGCACAGTGCATACACAGAAAGCACAAATTACAGTCCTCAAGCGGCAACTTTCTTAATTCAGGCATTATCATATCTCAGCATATCTAAAAACAAACTCAATTTCTTCAAAAGACATTTCAAATTGAATTATATAAGGACATAAATCAAATGAACTCAGCAAAGATTCAGCTCATGCAAAAACTGAAATCAACTCAAACGGACACTTCACAAACTATTTATTTATATTTCACGATAACATCAATCTTTACAGAATTTGTTATACATTTTCTAAAATAATTCGTGCAGAAACAGCAAAATAAACTACAAATAACCGAAGTTCAATTCCGAATTTCCATTCCGTTTTCAATTTTCTTCTCATTTTTCTTCTGCAATCACATCAAATTAGAGATTCGGACAGGAGAAATTTACCTATCTGGAAGTTTCGCGGGGGAAAAGAATAGCGGTTTTCTTCGTCTTCTCTCTCTCTCGAGTGTGCTTTTATTCTGTGTTTTGCTCTCTGTTTTGGATTTTGGAATAGAAACAGAGGAACTTACACCAAGTGTACTTTCGGTGGTTGTTTGGTGTTTTGTCAATGTGTCAAACGGGCCGGGTTGACCCGGTTCCGGACCGACCCAGGCCAGTTTTAGACCGGACCGGTAGGTAGGGGCCGGGCAGGGCTGGGTTGGGACGGGGAACGGATTGTGCTGGGTAGAATACACGTACCGGATAATTGGACCGGTCATAACTTGTACTGTCAAGTGAAGTTCGAACCCGTTAATCGGATCGGGCCGGTTCAACGGCTATTTCAAAATTTAATTTATTTTTTTGTAATATAGTTGACTACTGCCATTTTGACTGTTGTCCAACGCTCAACAATAGCCCTTTTTTGGTTTTTTTTTTCAAAAATAATATTTTTAGTATTTACTAATTTAGCCCTTTGAAAAAGTATAAATATATCCCCCTCTTCTTCAATCTTCACTCATCTCTCAATTCTCAAACCCAAATTCTCAATTGTCATTCTCTCATTCTTCACCTAAATTGCATTAAACTATTTGGCTCTCATTTTTTTGGAATTTTTTTTATGGTATTATTTGAAGTTTGAACTTTGAACAATTGACGTTTCTTCTGGTAACATCGGCGTTGCGAAATTCAATTTCAAGACTTCAAAAATCATCAAGTATTCAATTTACTGCGGAATTCGGTGCACTCGTTCCAACTCTTTCTCTTATTTAATATTTTATTTACATATTTAAATCAGACTCTATGGGGGTGTTTGGTATGAAGGAAAACATTTTTCGAAAAATATTTTCCAATTTTACCATGTTTGGTTGGCTTAAATGTTTTGGAAAATATTTTCCTTATGAATTCATTTTCCTCCAATTGGAGGAAAATGTTTTCCTTATCAAGAGAAGGGAAAACATTTTCCAAAACTCCTTCTCAACCTTCCCTACCCTCACCAACCCACCCCACCCCCTCTCTCCAAAAAAGGTTTTCTTTTTTCAAATTTCAGTTTTTCCGTTACCACCCACCCTACTACCCCTCCACTCCACCCCACCCCCACCCNCAATTTAAAATTCTGTTTTTTCGTTTTTCTACACCACCTACCCCACAACTTCCCCACTCCCCCCCGCAAAAAAAATATTTTTTAATATATTTTTCAGTTTTAGTTTTTTTAGTTATCGGTTAAAGGTTCAAAATTTTACAAGTTCCAAAGTTATGAGTTCGAAGGTTTATGTGTTTGGAAGTTTACGGGTTTACAAATTATAAAGTTTACGGGTTAGAAATTTCGCGGTTTCGAAAGTTTAGCGGTTCGAAAGTTTATGAAAAATGTGGGTTCGGAAGGTTGTTGATTTGAAAGTTTATGGCTTCATGTTTATTATATCTAAATTATTTATGAATACTCTTGAGAAATCATTTTCCTTAATTTGCGTACCAAACACCGAAAAATGAATAAGATTACTACTTGTTTTTCAAGAAAATATTTTCTAGGAAAATATTTTTCGCGAAAAATATTTTTCGTTATACCAAACACACCCTATATGTTCCAAGTTGGTGAATTCTACAAATCTTTGCTTTCATTATACGTATTTTTTGGCCCTTTGCGAATTTCTGGGACAGTTAGGGTTGAAACCAAATCGTATCAGTTCACGAAATAATTTCTTGTCGGCGTCGGTATCATACAACTGGTCGTCGCCTTGCCGGAGAATAATCCAATTCAATTTCTGTTTTAATTTCGACTAGCAGTCTCCTCTCTGTTCCGGCGTGCTTTTGACATTCAACCATCATTATCAATTGCATCAAATTTCACATTTCAATAAGTAAGAATCTTTGAATTCTGGTAACTAATTCTACAGATCTTTGCTTTCATTATACGTATTTTTTGGCCCTTTGCGAATTTCTTGGAGGTTAGGGTCGAAACCAAATCGTATTAGTTCACAAAATAATTTCTTGTCGCCGTCGGTATCTAACAACTGGTCGTCGCCTTGCAGGAGAATAATCCAATTCATTTTTTTTGTTAAGAAATTTCACTCCAGTTCTTCAAATCCCTTTGAATCATTAAATTTACCTGACGCCATCGAAGATCAGTACTCGCACCTTCTTTTCTCGCAGTTCTTTCCACATCTAAATTACATTTGGCCGAAAAAAAAGAACCCTCCGTCGGATTATTACGTGAAATAATTGGGACTCTATTTTTTGTTACCCTTCTTGCCGAGAAAAGGGTTTGGTTGCCCATTCAGCGGATTTGGAAGCGCGTCCGGACATCTCCGACTGTGATCCAGGTTCCATCTTTCTTGTGTTGTATTTGCGCACATCTATTTACTGTTGCCTTGCCGGAAATTTTAATTGGATTGATTGTTTTTTCTATCTTTTCTACTAGTGTTTTAATCTTAAGATTTCATCTATCCATTTTAATTCTATGTTTGCATAGGGGTAGTTTCTTAGACGTGGTAGATTCATTGTTCTAGTGCCTGTTCGTGTTACTGTTCTCGTAGTAGCTCCTTTGAGTTGTTTTTAGCTCTCGGGTTTGTAGCTTGTAGTCCTTCGTTCCCATTACTTGCTCTTGGTGGTAGTGTTTACCTGATACCTTTTGCTTGTAGTGGCGATAGTGAACGATGTGAGAGTAAGGTCATGCCCTCGGGTGGGGCTGGGGGTGGGGTCCAGGGGTGGGAAGGGGGTAAGAAAGCATCTAGGCTGAGAATTGGGTCTTAGAACATTGGGACGTTGACGGGAAAGTCTATAGAGTTAGGTAAGATTCTTCAGAAGAGGAAGATCAACATAGCGTGTGTTCAGGAGACTAGATGGAAGGGTACTAGGGCACGATGTGTAGACGAGTTTAAACTATGGTACTCAGGAAGCGCTGGGCGTAAGAATGGGGTAGGTATTTTAGTTGACAGGGACCTTAGGGAGCTCGTGGTCGAGGTTAGGAGGGTAAATGATAGGTTGATGAGTATTAAGCTGGTAGTTGGTGGGTTTACTGTAAACGTGATTAGTGCATACGCTCCTTAGGTAGGTTTGGACCAGGAGGTCAAGAAGCAATTCTGTGAGGATTTGGACGAGATGGTGCGTAGTATCCCGCACACAGAGAAGTTGTTCATTGGAGATTTCAATGGTCGTATTGGGGCTAGTGCTAGGGGTTATGATGATGTGCATGGCGGGTTCGGTTTTGGAGATAGGAATGAGGGAGGTAATTCACTATTGGAGTTTGCTAGAGTTTTTGATTTGGTTATAGCTGACTCGAGTTTTCCAAAGAGGGAAGAGCACCTGGTCACTTTCCGTAATTCAATGGGCAAGACTCAGATTGATTATCTTGTCTGCAGGAAATGCGATAAAGGTCTGTGCACTGACTGCAAGGTCATCCTAAATGAGCACCTCACGACCCTACATAGGCTCCTAGTCATGGACCTGGAGATCAAGAGGAGTAGGAGGAAGAGGGCGAAGTACAGGCGAACTAAGATCAAGTAAGGTAACTTGACCAAGGACAAAGCTCAGGAGTTAGGGGAGAAGTTGTTGGCTATGAGGGCCTGGACGAGTGGGGGGACACATCTAGTATGTGATTCATGAAGAGAGGTCTTAGGGGTCACGAAGGGCTCTCCTGGGGGTCATAAAGGGGACTGGTGGTGGAATGGAGAGGTTCAAGGTAAAGTGGAAGCTAAGAAAGCTGCTTATATGAAGCTAGTGAAGAGTACAAATGAGGAGGAAAAAAGGACTTATCGGGAGTGTTATAGAAAGGCAAAGAAAGAGGCGAAGTTAGCAGTTACGAAGGTTAAGAACGCGGCGTTTGCTCGTCTGTACAAGGAGCTCGGGGGCAAAGGCGGGGACAAGAAGTTGTACCGGTTGGCCAAGGTGAGGGAGAGGAAAGCCCGCGATTTAGACCAAGTCAAGTGCATCAAGGATGAGGATGGCAAAGTGCTGATGGACGAGGCACTTATTAGGAGAAGATGGCAGATATACTTCCATAAACTGTTGAACGAGGAGGGGATAGACGCATTGTGCTGGAGTTGGAGCACTCCGAGAGTCGGCGGGATTTTGGGTACTGTAGGCGGATTACGGTAGAGGAGGTGGAAGGGGCGATGCGTAAGATGTGCAGGTGCAGAGCGACGGGGCCAGACGAAATCCCGGTGGAATTCTGGAAGAGCACGGGGCGGGCAGGTTTGGAGTGGCTCAATGGGCTGTTTAATGTTATTTTTAAGACGAAGAAGATGCCCGAAGAATGGAGGTGGAGTACAATGGTTCCGCTTTACAAGAACAAGGGTGATATCCAAAATTGCAACAATTATAGGGGTATCAAGTTGTTGAGTCACACTATGAAAGTTTGGGAGAGGGTGGTGGAGGCCAGGGTGAGGAGGTGCGTGTCTATTTCCAAGAATCATTTTGGATTCATGTCGGGACGTTCGACTACGGAAGCGATTCATCTGGTAAGGAGATTAATGGAGAAGTACAGGGAAAGGAAGAAGGATTTGCATATGGTGTTTATTGACCATGAGAAAGCGTATGATAAAGTCCTGAAGGAGGTCATGTGGAGGTTTTTGGAGGTTAGCAGCGTTCCGGTAGCGTACATTAGGGTGATTAAGGATATGTACGATGATGCTAAGACTCGAGTGAGGACTATGGGTGGTGACTCGGAGCATTTCCCTGTGGAGATGGGGTTGCACCAGGGATCGGCTCTTAGCCTATTTTTATTTTCCTTGGCGATGGATGTACTGTCACGACAAATCCAAGGGGAGGTGCCTTGGTGCATGCTATTTCCCGATGATATAGTGTTGATTGACGAGACGCGAAGCGGAGTTAACACGCGGTTGGAGGTTTGGAGACAGACCTTGGAGTCTAAAGGTTTCAAACTGAGTAGAACCAAGATAGAATACTTGGAGTGCAAATTCGGTGATGAGACTCATGATGCAGACGTAGAAGTTAAGCTTGATGCTCAAGTTATCCCCAAGAGAGCGAGTTTTAAGTATCTCGGGTCTATTATCCAGGGTGACGGGGAGATTGATGAAGATGTCGCACATCACATCGGAGCGGGATGGATGAAGTGGAGGCTCGCTTCCGGTGT